TCAAAAGACTAAGACTAAATCAGAATTTGCTGTCAAAATGAACACTGTTGTGAATGACATCTCAAGTTATAACTTCATTTTTGATTTGTTGCTTCAGGAAAAGTGTGTTTGCGTTCAGAAATCTTAACCTGGCCGCAGATCACAGAATTAACACAAACACATTTTGATTTGGGTAAATTTTTCCCCTTTAAAAAACAGTAATCTGATCTTCTTCTCTTGCCAGAGGAGAGAAGTACAAACAATGTGAAGAAAGTGGAGGGGGAGTTGTTTTCTTTGCAATATGGGCTGACTCATATAATTACAATAACTGAGAGCAGAAGATGACACAGATTAGCTCATTACACAAGAAGGCCCAGAGTGGAGGTTTCCAGGAAATTCACAGTATTACTGGATGAACATGTCAGTGCATTGTTCTGCAAGTGGCAAAGTCAGTACACATACTGTATCCATAACTGTGTAACAATGTTCCAGCACAGAAGAAATCATTGCCACTGTGCATGACTAAGATACAGTGAATTAAAGCAAAGCAGGAAGGCTCCATTATTAAATGAGATTATTTATCTATTGTTCACATTGTTTTGGTTCTGAATGCTGCACAGAAGATTTTTCCAACCAATAGACACACACACATTTTGGATCAGATTTTGTAGTCTGTGCGCACACACGTGCACCCATGGCAACCCTGAAACCACAGAGCCACCCCCTACATAAATAACAAATCCCAATTTAACCCCCGAGTACTCAGGGCTCAACAATAAGGACTGCAAGTAGAATGCATCGTCGACTCTTGGCAGAAGAATGGGGTAAAATAGGTTCAAAGGCACACACCAACAACACTCAACTGAGACTAATACAGTATAATTGGCTGATGAGAACCCACATAACCCCTGTGAAGTTAGTGTGTAAGTGTAAAATGCAAAAATAAATATGATTTCTAAGCCTGCAGTACGTTTTCATACCAGTATATCGTTATCGTGTTAATTGTGTTAAATGTAAAATAAATCTATTAATACATAATTTAAAAGTGCATCAGGTTAGTATATATAGCTTATTTATAATCAATCTATTGTCAGGTAGTTTTCTGACCCACTTGCAAGTGACAAAACCGTTAATGTTGAACGCCACTACTGTATGCCTACTATGCAACATCAACAGTATCACTGTTACTGTGACTGCTTATGAAATGGATCATCTAGGTCCCGTTTTTTTTCCCTTGGCATTATTTTTTCATTTTGCTTCTTTGATAGCATGCAGTGTGAACTTTATCTACTCTATATTGTGGGTGGGACAAATAATTGATGCAATCATAGACTCAGTGACCATGAAAATAGAAACCGCAGTACAAAGTAATGCAATCCTACAGAAACGCCCTGCAATAAATCCTACCTTTGTGAAACTGAATATGTTCCATTTTTGTTGAGACTGTGCTGAAGAGGAGCTGACTCAAGTCTGTGGTCACTTTCGAGGCTGCCGTTTCATTTTCTCTTGAACTATTCTACTTACATTGATGACAAATGTCTCACTGTGTATTCTGAAGATGATCCATATGCAGTAGGCACTACATATTATTTGCTTGGTTAAAGTTCAAAACAGGCAAATGTGCCATAATCCCCAACCTGATCAGTCAGAATAGAGCCATCACCTGAAACACCCTCCAGCATATTCCAATCAAGTGTTGTCTGTGCACAGAGTATCAGTGTAGCTACAAAACACACATTGTTTTCAGGAATAACTACTGAACGATTAGTCATTTTACATCACAAATGTGATTTGAGAAGGAACAATTGTCAAATTGCAAAAACCTTGATTTTATATACAACTTAAATACTGAACATGATTAACCCTGGGAGGAGCTCCAAACACAAAGCAACTGCAATCTGATTCTATTCATGTACAAATAAGATCAATCTGTGATCTTGCTCAGTACGAGCTAAACTACCCTTACATAGATAAAAATTAGGTATTTTCTGACAATTGCCTCAGTGTTCAAGTTAGTTATCAAACAAAACTGTCAAACATTTAATGCTTCCAGTTTCTCAAATGTGAGTAAACTGACCAACTTTACAAAACCAACATTTATTTAGGGATGGAAATCGAAAACCAGTTCAAGTTGAGAACTGGTTCTAAATCAGAATCTTGTACGACTGAGCTTATCAATTTCTTTTATCAGTGTCAGCATGTTTTTCTGACGTAACGACGTAAAGCCTCTACGCTGCTGGAAACTTGCAACATGGCGGAGACAAATGGTCCAAAGCGTGGCCTTGTGAAGAAGCTCAATGGCATGAAGATTTCAAATAAAGCAGATGATGATTGCCGCACAATACATACTTCCTGGTGCCAGTTGGTGGCGCTATGACTATGACTGAATATTGGCATGTAGATGTGTTCAGGGCGGGACACTTATCAGACGTGAAGTTTGGTCGAGACTGGACCATGTACGCTGAAATAACGTTGAGGTTCACCGCATACAAGGCATTCAATGCACAGTCCGGAGTCAATCCATTCAATTCCCTAAAGGGAGTTTCTCAAAATACGATGGGTACAAATAGCCAAAAATTAATTAAAAATGACTGACTTCCTGTTGGGTTTGGGGTATGGGTCCAAGATGCTTTCCTGTCTATTTCCTGGTATACATGCACATACCAATTTTCATACATATCAGTAAAAGGTGCCTTGGGAGTACATTTTCGCCATCGCCATATTTTGTGTCGCATTTCATAAAAAGAAGAGGAAGAAAAATAATTCCCTAATAACTACTCTTCTTATACTCCGTGTTCAGACAGACAAACCTGTGAGGCCTACATTTTTCCATACAGGAAATGATCAGGAATCAATAAGGATATCGACAATTGCACAAATAAGCAAGTCGGATAATGGTATTTTTATCAATAAAATCTTGTCAACACCCATCCCTTAATAAAGGTATTAAATAAAACAAAACATTTCATGACATAGAATATAACCAAATGAAGGATTTCAGGTCACAGTAGCTACAAAAACTCCACAGTTTCAGTTTCACTGTTTACAGCTGCACCTGGCTTATAAACAGGTAGTGCTGCAGGCAAACACCACTACACTGTGCATTACAGCCAATGCATTCAAATTACAACAGCCTAAATTACCTTGCTGAGTACTGCATAATATTGCCTTAGTATTAATATTAATAGTGCAGAGAGGCTCATTCAGTCACTGGAGCTGTAAAATTAAATGAATCTGGAGACTGCAGCACTGTGACACAGTAACCTTCAGAAATGCCAATGGCTGCCTTTAAGGCACAACCATCATTAATCAATTCATAAAGAGAGAGAGAGAGAGAGAGAGAGAGAGAGAGAGAGAGAGAGAGAACCAGTACGGTTCTAATTTACTACAGGCCTGCATGCTACAAAGCCGAATATATCCTGTTAACAAGTGATACAGTCAAATGATCTTCAAATGGAATTGTGAGACATTCTGTAATGTAGAATGGTATGACTAGAATGTCAGTCTCTTGATGCTGTGTGTCACCAGTTGAAGATGCCCTTAATCAAAAGTCAGTGTTTTTTTCTTTTTTTGTGGAAAAAACATCACTTATTGGTGACTATACTATAGGCAGACTGTCAGCTCTCAATACAATCTTGAAATATGAAAAAGAAAACTGGAAAGGTATATTATCTCACTTTGGTTTGGCAGGGAGTTAGTACTGACTACAGATGAAATGTGGTGAATAACCTTGTCAGCTCATATCTTGTCTTTACCCCTTAGAACCCACATTTTCAAGCTCTAACCTGCACATTTCAGCTGTCACTTACTCTTAGTGTATCCTGCCACAGACACACACACCAAACACGCTACACACAAAAATACAAGGGCGTCATCATTCATAGTGAAGTGTAATTTCTGCACTCTTTGATCTATGTCAGTAAAACATGAACAGATACAATCAGCTACATCAGCATAACCAAACACCTAATATAAATGTACCCAAGATCATTTCCATATATTATTATAGGAATTTGTAGTGTGTACTTTATGGGACAACACAATGCACTGTTCAAGGAAGTCCTCTTCACATCAGTTTGCTATGTAGTCTTAGATTAAAGGGATACATGCAGCTTATCTTATCAGCCCATTGTGTCACAGCAGGCAGAAAGCGGAACAGATTGCTACATGTGATATGAATCATTGCTAAATACAAAATCTCAAATATGTGAGTCAGTTTCCTCTAAAAACAGTAACAGAAATCATAGTCTACACAACACTTCTCACCTACAGCTTCAGGGCCAAACAGGATTTTGTACTCCCCAGAATTACATACTGTACCTCACGGTGTAGATAAGACTTTGAAACACCATTCTGACAGATAACATTGACAACAAATATAACGGAACAGTAGAATTATTTAATAAAACATAACATTTTGTCATTTCTTTAAGTAGTAAGAATATAGTTTGGTTCAATTTTCCAAAATGGGTGTGGTTCTGCTGGGAGGAATTTGGCCTCATGATCTCAAAACAGGAGCGTTGTTAGGTTAGGTTATGTGGTCAGCCCAAACTCAGTTTAAAAAATCTGACATTTTAAGGCTTTGTTAGTAGTAGTTTAAGGTAAATGGAGCAAACTCAATTCAGATATCTTTAAGCAATGATTATCAGTAAGGCTACACACCAAATACTTCACAACATAAACATTATGAACCTTAATAACCGCAAAATGCAGCATGGTGGATCTTAATCATGACAAAAACACGTAGTAAAAGTCGGGATTGTACAGAGAGTACTGGCTGTCTGTGCACTGAATGTGTGTGTGTAGTGCTTTACAAAGGCTCCACTGTCAGTGTGTGTACAGCTCCTCTCACATGCCAGCACACTTAAATTCAATCTTAAAACATTCGTGCTGCTTCTGATGTTTGGACAACAAGCGTCCGACACACCGGCAAACGTTGGCTCGTGTTACTTAAAAAGGTCGGAGCAGATCAACTGCGACAATTACAGTAGAACATAAACGAACAGTGATGGTTTAACTACCTCGCCGTGGCTGGCACTCCGCCCCTGCGGGGTGTCCTCTGGGAGAAAATAAAGTTTGGAGCTGGACAGGAGTTGGTGATTGGTCCTCTCCTCCCAGAGCAGCTGCAGCTCGGCGATGCACAGCGGCTCTCCCGGCTCACAGCGCACCACGAAGAAGTCTCCCAGCGACAGCAGCCGTGTCTCACAGCCAAGGTTAAAGCGAAAAGCCTTGTAGAATGTGTACGGTCCGTGTGAACCACAAGGTGAGCCTACCCACTGCGGGAAACAGACACACGGTCGAGAGAATTAGTGAGTTACAGCAACGCTTCAGACACAGAGCAGAACATTAGAGTTCCCCAAGCTTTCACTTAATGAGCACCTACATGCCCCCATACATATTTATATATGTATTAAAAAACAGATTAAGCAGCCTGTAGAGCGGGTGACTGATCAACATAAAATAGCAATTTAATAAAATCCTAATATTAAGAGCCTACCGTGAGCGAGGCGGGCTCCATCTCGGCTCTGCAGATTGATTAAAGTCCCAACATTTTCCTCCAAACTTGTCGGCTTCAGTGGTTTGCAGGTTGGTCCTGGAAGGCTGCAGAGGGAGCGCGGATAGGAAGCAGCCTGTGGCCAATATCAAGAGGGAAGAGCTCACACACGCTGCCGAGAAAATGTGCAGAAATCACACCCAATATTTGGCCCGGCGGCCCCGTCCACACACACTCATTTTGTCCCGGTGTTTTCACCCGGTGGCTTCATTTTCGAATAAGATAACGTCGCAGTGAGCCTCGCCGCCCACAGCCAATGATTTAATGTGAGAGTTTAAAAATATTAAAAGGTGGAATAATCACAACCTACCTTCCTGCATGAGATAAAGTCAGGTTTCTGCGACTACCTGAAGAGTTAATGATATTACTGCTTTCACTTTCAGAGTTTAACCTCGTCATTTATGTTATTATCACTCTATGGCTTTGCTAGGACCTGGGACGTGTGTGAGCCAGCGTGCTGTAGGTACAAAAAGACCGGAAATTAGCAATAACTTTCAAAATAAAAATGTTAAACATTGTCAGAAATATTCTGTAAGTCATTATAATGAGAAACGCTCTCAAAATAATGACTTACAGAACCCATGCACAAGACAGGGAAAAACACATTGGCAAAAATGGGCTTCCACAAAGACTTGGACGGAAAATTGAAAAAAAGAAAGAAAATTGTAAAGGTGGACAGAACTCTCAGTGAAGTCCCCCTCCACTCAGAAATCAGTTTTCTGTTTTTCATTGAAAATCAGATTTTAAGGGGATTTGTGACACAAATAGTCGCCAAGTCAAGCCTGGACCGATTTGGAACTAAGGCTATGTTCACAATAAAGGCACAAGTGACGCAACTCTGATTCTTTTGCTCATATGTGACTCAGATCTGTTTTTTCATGACAGTTTGAACCTTAGTATAAACAGTCATATCAGGATTCATGTGACTTTGATGTCACTCTAGATCTACCTTTTGTCATGCGGGTCACTTTAGGACTGTTCATACTGGAATCTGATGTAGGCCACATCTAACAAATCATCTGAACAGCAAAACAAAAGAAATCTGATCTGAGTTATCAGAACTGAGTGCTAAGGCTTGCAGTTTGAAATTAGCCTTGTACAGTGTGATGTAGAAACTTGAAGCCACCAGTGCACATCCACTGAGAATGGACTTTACAGTGAAGTAGGAGACATCTTGTGTCCAGCAGGAAAACTTTAGAAAGGAACAATATTTGCATATTCAGAGATTCTGAAATTCTTCATAAGGCAGAAGGGGGAGATGACCTTTTAAGGATTTTAATGTGAAAATTCAACTTTTTTGTGGAGCTACCACACCTTATCAGTCAACAAAGCATAGACTCTATTACTCTATTAATCCTAGTAAGCAACACACCATTCACTTGTCAGTTTTCCAAATGAAGTGGCTAAGATAAACTGGATAAACTGCTGGTTTGTTTTCAACCTGTCTGACTGCTTGTTGTTGCCCAGTTGAACCTATTTTTAGCAATGTCTCTGCTTTCCAAGATCCCAGCAATTACTTTTAGCGAGCACAGTGTAATCATAACTGATACAAATGGAAGTTGTAATTAACCATAGTTTTCCTTTAAAGCTGCTACACAATGATGTTAATTTGTTATGAAACGGTCTCAATTTAAAATACCTGTGTGTAGGATTTAGTGGCATCTAGTGGTGAAGTTGCAGATTACAACTCCCTGAATGCTTGTGTCAGTATTTGTTGACCTGAGAATAAGGACAGTCTAAGTGTGTAGGAGCAACACTAAAGGCCCTAGTGTTTGGTTTGTTCATTCTGGGCTACTGTAGAAACATGGTGGCCAGTGGAGGACCTGCTGCCTCTGTAGATACATCTAGTTCACGGAAACACATATATTCAGGTGATTATACACCAAACTAACTATTTTTTACAGTTGGCAGTTATTACAGTTGGGACCCAGCCATTTTGTTTCCCATTAGTTCCTCTAATAGTGTTCTGCATGAATGTGTTTATTGTGTTTCTGCATTCTTGGAAACGTTGTGTGGTTTGTTATTTTACTACGTTTTGCATGCAGGATTTTAATGTTGCCTAAAACAGCAGATAGTCTATTTAGGGGTCTGTGTTTTTTCATAAAGCATAAAGTATGCAGAATTAGAATTTTATGTGGCACTCTAAATTTGCACATGCCTGACTATATCATTTGGTCCCTTTGGGCTCACCACTTGTGCCACTGGTTTGGTGACAGCACATGAGCTGAATTTTAGGATCCATAAGATCACTTTCCTGAACCTCTGTCTCAAATGGTCTCACACACACACACACACACACACACACACACACACAATTTTGCTACAAAATGTGACAAAGTTATAAACTAGCTTCCAAATTAGGTCTATGGCAAATACTTCCTGGAATCTGGGGACTGTTTTAGATTACTGTACTGTATTAATATAAAAAAATGAAATCCGCTAACTGCTGATGTAGCTGCCGTTAGCGTGCAACTGAACGGGGCTCAGCAGCCTCCCAGTGAACACAACCTCTGAGACAGAGAGAGGACAGTTTGACGACAGCACTACTGAGGTGATTTACGGAGTTTCCAGATGGACTTGGAAAAAGTAATGTTAGCTAGCTTGTGCTGCTCGGACAAGTTACTGCAAGAATGTGTGACTCTGTGGTCACCTCATCTAACACAATGACCATCTCTAAAGACAAACATATGCTGCAGTCTGATCCTGGCATTAGCATGTATAGGCTCAGGGTATACAGCCCATATTCCTTTTGATGTTGGGAGCACAAACTGGTATGTCTAACCTTTTGTCACAGTTTTTGTTTTCATGCCACTATTTCCCACTAGCCCCACCCCACCCAACCCATATATCACCACAGCATTATAGCACTCACAGTAATAAAGCAAAGTCAGGCAGAGGTGCAGAAAGCTTATTTACTGCAGTCACTGCAGGGTAATGTCATGGGGCGAGGGATGAATGATAAATACAGAGTCATACGATCTCTCTGTCATTATGTCTGAAACATTAATAATGCCTCAGAGGCAGTGGAATATATCTAAATAAAGACAGAGGGTAATGAAGTGTATCACTGGATTGAGGGGAGTTAATGAATTTGTTGCGACGAGGAAGAAATAACATAGTTGAAATGGAGCCTGTGACTCACATGTGAGTGTGACAAAATGAGTAAAATTGTTAAATACAGTCCTGGAAGAGCAGTTGCTGCGCGTCATTGGCAGGGTTGTCCTTTTGGAGGGGCGGAGGTTGGGGTCTGTGGTGGTGATTCTGCAGTGAAAACAGGGTTTTAGATTACATGGTGAAGTAGGAATGTGCTGGGAGCCAGGAAAGGCAGGCAGGCCTGCACCACCACCACCACCACCACCACCACCAACATCTGGACACATTAGACTGGGACTGAGGGTGGGTGTGTCTGTGAATGTACCCTGAGGGACAGATTATGTTTGTAGTTGGTACAGTAAGACTGTATTGGTTTCCAACTGTTAACAAATTAAAAATGAGCTGAGGGAACACTGTATGATTATGAGGAACAATATGGCCACTATATAATGCCGTTATAGTAGTAGTAGTAGTACTAGTAGTATAAGATAATAGTAGTAGGCCTGTATATTAAAGGTTGTTCAACTGTCAACTATACCAGATGGGGAATGTGTTGTGTTGTCTTTTCAGTGACATCTAGTGGTGAAATTGCAAATTGCAAACAACTGAAATAACTTGACTTAACCAAGTGTGTAGGAGAAATTGTGGTGGCCACAGAGCTTGCAAAACTAAAAAAAGGCTCTAGAGTTTGATTTGTCCGTTTCTGGGCTACTGTAGAAACATGGAGGACTCCGTAGAAGAGGACCCACTCCCTCTGTAGATTAAAATGTGTCATTCTTAGGTAACTCACTGTTATCCACTCTGAAGATCAGTCACACCATCAGACCATCAGGTCAGACATACAAGATTATTTGGAGCTTCTTACACCTCCCGCACAGCTCTAACATATCATTTCAGAGCGAGCATTAATTAAGCATACATTTTGCCTGATAGAAACATCAAGCTACTGCTATAATGTAAAGTAAGCTCAGTAACTAGGCAACAGGGACTCCAGTCCATTTTATTTTTAAAGTGATCCTGTTGCCTTGTTGACTGACATCTGCAAATAAGATTGTATTCACTGATATCAGTGGTTCATTTTACGCTGGTTAAATGTTGTGTTGGTTGTTTCCAACTTGGATATTGGAGAAATAATCACCTCTGTTTTCCAGCACTGGTCCAAATTGAACACAAATACCTATTGATGTGCCAGTGAGCAGCACTCACAGGTACTGAGTACTGACACTCCTGATTTTTGTACATTTGTACTCTTGTTTCTCATTGTGTACCGCTACCTACTGTTAAGTCTAATTGCGTACCCCGAAACACCTATGTCACGCTTGATTGATTTTTTTCCCGACGACATTCCACAAAGACCCACCCTATCCTGCCTCTGATTGGCTAGTGTTGGTTGCCTTTGTTGGTTTGGTTGGTTAGGCTTGACATGAGGGGTGAGACAGTTAGGGTTAGAAAAAAATGTCAGGGTTATAGTGCTTCTTCTGCTATTGATATTACTAATTGTCTGTGCTTATAAGCGTTTGTATGTTTTCCTGTAATGTCCTTTGTGTGTCATATGTTTATGACATATATGAGACATTAATATGACCATTGTGTTACTACTGTTTGTCCCTCTGTGCTTTTTTTGTTTCTGATATGCCACCAACCTGACAGGGACAGCAAATGAAAATTAGCCTGTATGTAATACAGTCATGTTCTATAATTTAAAAAAAAGTTTATAGCTTTCATTTTACATAAAATCTTGTGTAATTTTGTAGCCTTTTAATGTTTAATTAAAGATATTTACACTTGTAAAAACAATGAAATTACCTATACATACATGCAAACACTGCTATAATACAAATAATCAGGCTTAAATAATACAGAAGAGAGCTGTTAGTATTTGATAATTGATTCTTTCAATGGAATGGAGCTGTAATAAAGTTCATTATCTGTGAAATTACAGTAATTATTGATGTTTTCAGTGATAAAAACTGTATTTTAAAAGTTTACCAATGCTTATACACTAATGAAATTCAGTTCAGTTTTTGTTGTGAAAACTTCCATAATTATACAAGATATCAAATTACTAAATACTTTTTCTGTTAATTGGCACTAATTTTACATAATTTTAGAAATGTATAGACAGTATTAAACCTGATTTTGACATATTTAATAAACAGCATCTGCAAAATTATAGATTTGCAAATGTATTCTTTTTATATGATATTATTTCTTGAAATAAGCAGTTACAGTTTTTTTACAGTTTTAATTTTGTCATGTTATTTTACATTACGCATGTCAATGTCAAAACAGGAGCCAGAGCCTTCAGTTACCAAGCTCCTCTCCTGTGGAACCAGCTTCCAGTTGGTAAATAATAATAGTAATAATAATACTAAAAATAATATCAGTGATATTAGCAATGGCAGTCAAGCAGGACCATGGCAGGAGGCTCCACCAGGATCCATGACAACCTTCAAGAC